CCAATTAAGAATATCTACTGAGCGTTTCTTCACTAAGGATCAATGGTCGGAGACTCTTGGCGACGTAGCTAAAAATCGGTCACAATGGCGCAGATGTATTAACTCCTTGACGTCTTCAAAAGAGTGAATATTTTTGCTAATCTTTATCTTTAAATTGGGTACTCTCTCACATAACTGTCAACTTTGATATCACTTTTTCCATCCACTTGTTCTTTGTATACTACTATTGTGGTGGGCGTTGCTGATAACAACAGACATAAGTAGTATATATCGAGAGGATGGCAGGAATCATAGGGAATTACCGGCAATGGGTAAGGTTTCTGCCAAGAGCAACGCAGGGGACAACACAGGCGTATTACAGGGGATGCTGCTGATAAGTGTATGAAGAGCCGGTCAAGAGCAAATCAAGACAGGAACGGAGAGGAAACGAAGATATTTGCAAATGGCTGCGTTAGTGCAAGGAGTACCATATGTAACCACTACCATCCCAAATGTTCGTAATAAACATTCTCTCGTCGAGTTGTCTTCTGAACTTCACTATGAAGTGGGGCAACATAAACTGTGAGGTCCTACGTTGATTTTGTTCGTCTGAATGCACTTCTGGGCCAAGTTCTATTGGTCTGGGCTAGTACAGCAGGAAGAAAACTGTAAAGTGAATAGGGTATTTCTTAGGTGAAAACCTGTGTGGAGACCAACAAAAAATTGATCCTTCTCTTTTACTGCTCAATGTAACTGAATTACCAGGAATGCTTGAGTCAACAGTGCTCTTACTGGCCAACAATGTGTAAGTTTAAAGTGTCATTCTAATCAGCGCAGACAGGTTTGTTCTATAACTGAACTTCAGTCGGCATTAATATGGGACCTGGCACAATACTGCTTAATGGTCCCAGCTTCTACACCTTACATCAAAATATCAAGGGCTAACGCACCAGATTTAAAAATACAGAAATAAGGAAGAAAGTAATCGATAGTGGTAGAAAGTCGTGAAAAGAAAACAAGGAGTGAGGCGATAGTGAAATTCAGTGTCCGGATTAAGACGAAGATAATGGGTAGATGCATCTGCGCCATTCGTATTGATTCAGAACCATATCACCTATGGTTTCTAAACACCGATTTCGGCTGTCACACACTCACCAACCGGAAAGTCTATATTCCCCTACATGGCTCAGGCCAACAGTAATAGATTTCATGGACTGATGTCATCTCTTGTTCTAGTCGCTCTAACATTTTTATATCCGAAACCCAATTGCACGATGGCGACTAAATATGCTTAACGCATTTCCCAGGCATATGAATCAATCATGGTTCACAATCTCATCAAGTAACACTTGCTTTTTCCCTCAAACTCTGTTCATAACCTCTACATACCGCCAATGCCGTAGCTTCGCGATACGCGGTGTACGCTGAGGCAACAGTAGTCAGACATCAGAAGCCTTCTTCATCACCTATAACTTCATTGGCCGAATTCACAGCTGCACAGTGGGGCAGAGTGCAGCGCAATGCACTCAACCCATAATAGGCAGTCGAATATCACAGTGGCGTAAGGTGGAAAAATCAATCAACCCTTTTGTATTTGTGCAGAGACTTCGGCCGTCACTGACCCGCAACGGCTAATCCAACTTCACAAGTAGAAGGTGGTCAACACGCTCAACTAGAACACTTCCTATTGTCAGACGACTCACCAAAGCAAACCAAACCTGCTGCAACAATTTACGTCTGGGGGTGCGAAAGACGTCAAATTGCTACTCGATGTGTCTAGACAGCTTTACATCCTGATTTATAGGCCCCAGCACTTGCAGAAATCGGTAGGTAGATAACTTGAAACAAAGAAGGGCGACAAGACCAGACGGACTAGTTCCTGAGATGTATGGGGACGGTGGTAGAGTGTTTTTAGTCGAGTTAACTTAAGTGTTAATTAGTGTATGGGAGTTAAATATGATCCCCTTTAACTGGTCTCAATCACCAGTTATCCCAGTATTTCAAAAAGGCGAGAAGTCTTCTTGTGATAACCACAGAGAAACCAGACTGACGAACATAATGTCTAAGATTCTAGGATCTATAATCATTAAGCACTTGGGTAGAGCTCGAGAACAGCAAACCAGAGAAAACTAGACAGGCTTCAGACCTGGTTAGGGGGGAGTAACAAAATATTCACTCTCCGTCAGGTTCTGGAACACAGGCACGCTTACAGACGCCCGACAATAGCTGTATTTCTCGACCCGAAGGCAGCATTCGACTCCATCGATCAAGAAGTCTTATGGCAGTGTTTTTCATTGAAAGGAGTACCGAATAATTACAACACCCTATTGAAGACTCTTTACTCGAACACCTGCGGGCGTGTTAGAGCTTATGGTGAGATGTCGGGTGGGCTGTGTACCTAAAATGGTATCCGTCAAGGAAGTCCACTCTCTGATTCATATTCAATTTTATCATACATGTTCTTATGAAGGTCTGCTTCTCGTCATCTAACCACACAGGGATCGACCTAATTACAGAACTTTTGGTAGACCTAGAATACGCAGTTGACATAGTCCTGTTAAGTCAAGATGCAGCCTTCTACACCTTGAGTGGTAATTTAAAAATGTTTGGGATGCTTTTTTCGCCACACAGGGGGAAACTGTTGCTTCAGGACTGGTCTTCAACGGTAACCCGGCTAACAGTAGAGAGTGAAGTTGTTGATTGCGTTGAGCACTTCACTTACCTGGGGAGTCGGACCAGCCCTAGTGGCTCAGTGGCCGATGAAACCTCTGCACGGATACAAAATCTCAGTTGGCTTTTGCCAACTTACGTCATTTGTGGCACCGCCGGGATATTCAATCGTCTATTAAGGGTCGAGTCTACTGTACTGCAGTTCACTCTGTTCTGCTGTATGGCTGAAACATGGGCATTAAAGGTAGAAGACATGAAAAAGCTTCGGGTGTTTGACTACCGTTGTCTTCGTAGCAAATGCCATGTTTCGTGGTGTGATCACGTGAGCAACACAGAAGTCAGGTGTAGAGTTCTAGGGAGAAGGGGTAAGTCAGTTGATATGGTTCCAAACCTTCATCAACTGAGACATGTTACGCATGTCTGGCCACCGTCTGTCTCGTCCGAAGTAGGTTCAGGCTGGATAAAAGCTCGGGGCGGCCAGACTAAAACACAGCATGAAGTCCCCGACCGTTCGTTTGAGCCACGTAGGACAATGTAGACTAGCCGCTTGAGATCCGCGGGACAAGGAAAATCAGTGGTTGAGGACTTTATGTGATGCGGACACATTATCTTCATCCTAACCGCCAAACTTCATCTCATTATTTCCCCTTCCTTCCTTTTACTTCTTTTGACACTTTTCTTTCTTTCATTTTCCACTTCATTGCCTTGTTAATTGATATCCTGATATGAAGTGTGGCAACTTGGACCATTATGCAGTAATGCATGGTCCTGTGATTTTGTGATTATAGGAGTATGTCATCTGAGAACTATAAGTGTACTAAGAAAGCTCCTGTAGCACTACAGATTCAGACGAGGAGAGAGAGAGACCTTCATAAGCACATCTATAACAAAATTAAATGAGTGAGAAGAGTGGACATCCACAACAGATACCACGCGATGTACACTACCCATCTAATACCTCATACCATCGGCTCTAACACACCCACAGGTGTTCAAATACAGCCTTTTAAACAAAATGATGTACTTACTCGACAACTCTTCCAGTGAAAGACATTGCTATCAAACAGAGTTAAGTGCAGCCTTCAGGTGAATGAATACAGATAATGTCAGACACAAGTGTACCCGTTTCCCCATACCTGCTAGAGGGTGAATATCTGGTCAATACATCCACGACCAGATCCAAAAATCTACTTGATTTTTCATACCGAGCTTTACTGAGACGTCTGGTGATTACAAAACGTAGGATCTCAGATAATACGTTCACCCGACCAATTTCCTTGTGGTTACCACACAAGGATATCTACTCCTTTTTAAAGAGTAGAACAGTCAGTAATTAAGACATATCAGAGGAGGTCATATCTGATTTCCACACACTAGTTAACACTTCATTTAGTATAACCAATACTTATCAACAACAGCCTCTAAATACTTTTGCCGTAAGCCAAGTTGACCTTTCTAATACTACTAGAGTTTGGGGACCTGCTCTAATGTTCTGCTAATGATCTGACTGAAAAGCCAGCAACGGAAAATTAGATGAAGACCAGTCGGATTGTTCGTCAAAGTGTTACACTGATCACTTCAGTTATCTCCCCTGCAAGGGAATCAAAAACCCATGTTTCTACACTATAGCCGCATCAATCACTAACGTCCAAATAGCTGTCTACTACTACCTATTGTCGTAGCCTTTTCATCTGTTTTGCTTTCGCTTCCCACTACTGCTCACGGTCATTGGGCAAAACTCTGTTAGTCTGCACCTCAGTTGTTGCTACTCAACACTGTATTCGGAGCTTCCAGGAATAAGTTCACGTACATTCAGTACTTTCGATGCCAAGATCCTGACTCTTTCCACTCTTTTTTCAGCGGTCATAACAGCAAAGTGGAGGTGTTAGGCTTCTGAATGAGTTGTGTTCTAATACTTCTCCAGCTAGTTCCTCACTGGAAGGACCTTAAGTAATCTCAACGTCCAGTTGCATTCAGAATGGTTACGTAGGTTTAATTTAGGCGCAAAAATAAGTGTTCGAAACAACGAGTGATCACTAAAGAAAAGCATTTGGTCCAGAAGCAGCGATAATCTTCTGACAACCCTATCCAGTGATAACTGATAGCAATTTGAGTTAAGGTTAGTGGACATGATGTCAATGTCTTTCTTTGAGCCTGAACTTTATGTATATCAGAATAAGATTGTCGTTTAAGCATTCGTAGCAGGCGTCCGTCATTATCCTTAACCGTTCGTTCAGCTCGGATTCCGAAAAAGCCTTCTTGTCTGGCTTAGTCTACTTAGTTGTGCCCTGAAATCACTTTCTACCACATCTAAACGCTTGGTATGAGCACTGTAGTAGGAGGCAAAAGTTTTCGGAAGAGATCATTCTCTACTTTATTCATACGTTTATTAGCATTCGTCTACAGTTGAAGACAACAGATTATCATGAAATCTAATTCACAATTTAATTTGATGAGAGGAATAAAAGACAAAAAAGAAGGACGTTTTTAAACACTAACATAAGTATTGATTTGAAATAAGCTATTTCACCACCTACAGACATCCACTAGTGTTTAGGAAGTGATTATGCAGTGGCTGTAACCTTAGAAATTTGAGCTAGTCGTTTCAATTCGCTGATGCAGTGTGTAAGAGTTTCCTTTTCTTGAGCAGGAGTGATTCCCTTGACCACATTATCGACAACCCAATTTACCATATGATGTTGAATGTAACGTTTTCGCGTATTTTCACGTTCCACATGATAATCCTATCATACAAACAATAAATGGAAAAGAATTCATCCAAACATCATAACTTTAGAAATATGACAAGTAGTCGGTACAGTTTAACTTTTAATGAGGAAACAGGCATTCAAAACTTAATCAGTCATTCAAAAATCACGACCATGGGCAATGACACAGAATTCTGGCTCTTTAAGGCTAGCAAACTATCTACAGTGTCGAAGTGAATTTGGACAACATACCAACTGAAACTATTTGCATGATCTACTTATGCGACAAAATTTCCGATTAGCAAATTGCGTGATTGTGAAGTTTTAGAAATTAGCTCCTAACAATGGAAGAATAAAATTTCACCTAAGAATATCTAAAAGAGCAGAAAAAATGCTTTTCACTACAAACCGGCCAAACGCTAGTAAAATTTCATTATTGGACCCAAAACTGTGAACTTATCTTGTGTGATATCTTAGTTTCAGCACAGTGAGATCAGTATTAAACCTATTTATAAACACTATACTTTTAAATGCAAACGACATTTTAGAGAAGTCCATTCTAATCTGCTTCCATCTCGCCTTACCACTATAACCAGCAGGTATTTCTGAAATTCTAGGTATGCTAATTTACTGACATCTGATTACATGAAACCTAGAAAATTTCCCCAGTGGACTGTGACCTGAACAGCGCCTTGGACCGTCGACGATCCTCAGGTTATTTTCTCACACTACTCTGTCCGATATCCTTTTTTTCTCCACATGCAGAATGATATGCAGTCTACACAAAACGCTCAAGATGTAGCATCTCAGAAATACTGGAACTACTGATATGAAACTGAAATGGTGTGGAACATTTGTAGCTCGGGTGGATTACCTAGGATGTCATGTGTTGTATGAGTACCTAGCTGACGGAACCTAGTCAGGTAGGTTACATCCCCTAACATGGCTCAGACCAACAGTTAGGGACTTCACCCACTGGTGCGACGTCTTCGTCTGACTACGATAAACCTTCTTACAATTTAATCCAGCTCCCCGGAGCATGATATGCCAAGGTAGGCGGTGACTCGGCATGTACAGCACATATCCAAGTCACCTCAGAAGATGACGGTTCACAACCTCATCAATCGAATTGCTTAGTACCCATCGCCTGACCTCAACACTGCTCATACGATGATTCCACCAAACCTCAGCAACGCTAGGAAGATATGTGGTCAAAACCCTGTAGCCGCTTCATATCTTCTACTTTTAACGGTCATGCCTCAGTCGTGTAACGCAACAGAACAGACTGCAGCGCGCTATGCTCGTCCTTCGGTAGGTAGTCGGATATCTCGCCAGTCGACACCACGGCTCGCAAATGCCAAACGGACCTTCTGTGGTCGACCTGGGATTTCGTCAGTAACCAGCTTGTTCGTGCTGATATAACTTCCCAAGTAGTTAGCATATTCCACTACTTCATTAAACTGGGAGCGGTCGCGGACTAGTCCTGGAGCCTCATCTTGCACCTAACAGGCACGAAACGTATGCCAAACATATTCCGATTTCTGCTCAACGCACCGAGAAGACCCTGCATTTTGCCAGCGTCTTCACCCAGCAGGACAATATCTTCTCCATACTCCGATCCAAGACACTGGGTGACGGTATGCCACACGGTTCTCCAGGTAAACCTGGAGCGGGTTAGAGACCAGTCTGTGTACAGGACTTGTCATAAGATGAATAGCTTGGTAATGATACCCGTGATGTTATTAATCTTCAACCATCTATCAAATTTGACAGAACGTCGGGTGAGCAATATTTACTGCATTCACAATATGCATTTCTAAAAGTAATCAGTTTTCATGTTCACCAAGGTGAACACGCACCTACAACGAACCAAGACCTTTTTGTCCGGAATAGAGGTGATGTTTAAAACTTACCAAGCGACGATGAACTGTTCGGTGTATATTGTGAAGGCGTTCGCGATAAGCTGCTTCAAGTTGCAAGGCTATGTTTTCCTCCTTTGCCTTCACATGTTCAGCAACAGCTGTTACCCTGTCAATTTCCGCTTGTGACGTTTTGATTGTGTCGTCTAAATAACACTTCACTTGATTAATTGGTCCATAATACATAACTTGTTTGTCTTTCTTAAACAAAAGTTTAACGATTGATGGTGCTTACCTCTGTTACTTCATCAACATATTTCCTAGCAAAAGGACCAACTACTTTGATAACCGCAACAGCCACAAACCAAAACGCTATAAACTCTATGAAGTGTCCATCACACACCCATATTTCCTTGTTGATTAAAAACATAAACGAACTGAATATAAACATATATGGTCCTGGAGAGTAAGTGAATTAGAGGCAAAATTACCCGTGACTCCAGTCTTGCTGTAAAATGGGTGAAACCAAGATTCAGGAAGAACACCCATTCTAACTTTTGGATGAGATTCAGACACCTTGATAGTCGGGAAGTTTTTCATATCACGTTCCTTTCCATAATAGATTTCATTACACTTATCCCACCTTGCAACGGAATTAATGATATCCTGCTAATTGAAAAGTTTACTGAGAGATATTACTTGTTCATATTTCTTCGCCACTGACTCTACTTTCACAATTCGATCAACAGTAGGTTGAATAGGCTTTGGTGTGGCAGGTGTTTCAGAAACCAAATTTAACCCAGTATGAAAACTGCCAATGCGAAGCCCAGACCTACACGAAAACTGAAAAACTAGTCAATGCCTTTCTACATTTTGACAAAACTTACTAACCGGCCGCGCCAACATAATCTTGTGGAGGCAACCTCGACGTCCCACACTATTTCAATTTTCAATCTGGAAAACATTGCTTGTTTCATCTTTGGTTAAAATATCCCTGTGAAGATCCATGTTTTATTTGAACATTTTCACTGAAGGTGATACCATCTTGTCAAGCGTGGAAATTATATACTGCATATGGTAAAGATAACGTCGAAATGCTACACAAGGCAAGCTGAGACTTCAATCTTCCTGTTGAAGAAATAGCTGAAAACGAATGCTTGGGTTCTACACCTGTCCTAATGGAGGATGTCCCATGTTTGGAACGGCCAGTTGTTTTTCCGGACCAAAGAAACCTGAAAAGACAGAGATAACCAATTAATCATTTACCTAACCATAAGCGCGGTGACTATCCATGGTCTGCAAGACAACCGGTGGCTTTCTAAGTACACCGTAGCGCCAGACACTCCCCCAAAATCAGTAGCCTGGGGTTTGGTGACTTTCGACATTGATGTTGACCTTGATAGTTTAACTGGACTCCCTGAGCTGAAGGCACCCGTCAAGCACCCTAGCCATTTGGCACGCTATCGTGTTACGTTGCACCGCTCGTATTCGACTCTCCAGCCGGTTGGTCGGAACGCATCGGTATCTTGACACAACCACCTAAATATACTACTCCACCCGACTACGCTATCGTGTTCTTCCTTGGTCTCGTACTCGTGGGTGTATAGCGAGTCCGGATAATTAGTGATTGGTCTTTGCGTCTGACAAGTTCGCACCAGGACAAATCCTGAATTGGTGAGCCCGACGTGATCACATATCCCGACCAATAACAGATACTGAATTGGTGAGCCTGTTCCATTTTATATTTGTAAATTGTTTTCATTTCGATAACATTTATATATCCATTTACTACACTTTCTCATGTCCGACCACACTCCCAAGCTTATTCGTATTAAGCCAACCACGGACACGATCCAACTCATGCCATACTGGCCAGACAATGCAGAAACATGGTTTCTGTATGCCGAGGCCGATTTTCGCGAACAGGGTGTCTCAGATCCTTATTCTAGATTTCTTGCTGTCATACGGTCACCACCGCGGGAATTAAACAGACGTGTTACGGCACACATGTTTAATCCTGAAGTAAGTAATCCTTATGCACTTTTCATGGCCGCACTCTTGAAGAAAAGCGATCTCACAGATCGCCAGCGCCTAGACGAATTGCTTCGTAACATCGAGCTAGGCAGCCACTCAGCTACTGAAGTCCTCGCACGCATGCGAGAAGTAATCGGTGCACGAACATTCGACGATGGCCTTTTCCGAGAACTATTTCTCTTAAAACTACCACAACCGGTACAAACCGTGTTGGTGACACTGCAGTCAGTCCCACTCGATGACCTGGCAGCCTCGGCAGATAAAGTACTGGAGATTTATAGCAGATCCGTCTCCGACGTATACTCTATCTGCGGCAAACCAGAGCGCCAGGATTCAGAGGTGACCAAGCTGTACAACTCTGTTAAACAGTTGCTACGATCTCGAAGTCCCAGTTCATGTAGAACTACACAGAAACGCGTCTTAGTGCATCGCAGCAAATCGCGTGGTAGCCACACAACTAAACCTAACAGGGTGGAAAACCCTGAATGGTGCTGGTTTCATAATACTTACGGAAACAAAGCCAGAAAATGTCGCAAACCATGCAGTTTTAACAAGGATACAAACTCGGGAAACGGTCACGCCGGCACGTGTTCACGGCAACCGTAGCCGGCGGAAACAGCCGTTTGCTCTACGTCACAGATATTAAAACGAAAGTCCGCTACCTCGTCGACACCGGCGCAGAAGTTAGCGTTCTTCCCTCACCGACAAAGGAGCGTCATCATGACCCATCCTTCAATCTTCAAGCAGCCAACGGCAAGGCAATCGCGACATTTGGGAGACAGTATGCCTACCTCAACTTAGGTTTACGTAAACCTATCCACTGGATTTTCCTCCTAGCTGACGTCTCTATGCCCATCATTGGCATAGATTTGCTAAACCATTACGATCTACTCGTAGATGCTCGCCGTCGACGACTGATAGATAACAACACAAAGTTATCTATTGGCGGCACCACCTATGTAGGTCCGAGTTTAGCCATCGTTAGAACCAAACAATCAGGCGACGCGTCCTACCAAGCAGTTTTGGAGAAATATCCAGAGTTGCGACAACCGAAGCACACTCTTCCGTGCATAACCAGCAATGTTATGCATCACGTCACAACCACAGGTCCACCTGTGGCATCCAAAGCGCGCCGTTTAGCCCCCGATAAGCTCAAAACGGCGAAAAGTGAATTCGACCACATGCTCGAACTGGGCATTATCAGACCGTCAAACAGTCCTTGGGCATCGCCATTGCACATGGTTCCCAAAAAGGATAGCAACGACTGGCGTCCAACCGGTGATTACCGAAGGCTTAACGCCAAAACAACTCCGGACTGCTACCCGATACCTCACGTTTACGACTTGACTGCAACCTTATGCGGAATGAACATTTTCTCCAAAATCGACTTGGTCAAAGCGTACAACCAGATACCTATGGCAGCAGAAGATATCGCGAAAACAGCCATTATTACTCCTTTTGGCCTGTTTGAATTCCTGCGCATGCCATTTGGTCTTCGGAATGCAGCACAAACATTCCAACGCTTTATGGATGATGTCTTCCGTGGTTTGAATTTTGTTCATGTCTACATCGATGACTGTCTAATTGCGAGTCCAGATAAGGAAACTCACCTTAAACATTTGGACCTCGCATTCGAAAGACTTAAAAAACATGGCATCACAGTCAACTTACAGAAGTGTGAAATAGGAGTTGAATCACTCAGCTTCCTTGGGCATACCATTGACAACAAAGGTATACGCCCATTGAGAGATAAAGTGGCGGCTATCACAAACTATCCAGAGCCGACCACTGTGAAACATCTCCGCACTTTCAATGGCCTGGTAAGTTATTACCGAAGGTTTATCCCTAACTGTGCCTCTGTCATGAGACCACTCACAGATCTACTTCGAGGAACTGCGAAGTTCGTGTCTCTGGACAACGCGGCTAGACTTGCTTTCTCTAAAGTCAAGGAAGCCATTTCGAACGCAACCATGCTTATGCATCATGACCCCAATGCTTCTTTGAGTATTGCTGTTGATGCATCTGATTCAGCAATTGGAGCAGTTTTGCAACAGTTGACTGACAACCAGTGGCAACCGTTAGCCTTTTTCTCAAGGCGTAGAAACAAGATACAGTACATTTGGTAGGGAACTCCTAGCCATGTACTGTTCTGTACGCCATTTTCGACATTCTGTGGAAGGTCGTGATTTCATTATTTTCACAGACCACAAACCGTTAACGTTTTCCCTCAGCTCGGCGTCTGACAAATACTCCCCTCGTGAGTCGCGACAGCTGGATTACATTTCCCAGTTCACGTCAGACATCCGCCACATTTCTGGAGCAAACAACTCCGTAGCCGACGCACTATCTCGAATAGCTTCGATAAACCATATCGAGGGCATTGATCTCGTTGAACTAGCTCGGTGTCAAAAGGAAGACCTTGAGCTGCATCATGAGTTGTCGTCCACAACTCTCAAGCTGCGACTTTGTCAGGTTGGATCAGACAAGGATACAATTTTGTGCGATTCTCTGCTAGTCAACCACGCCCAATGTTCCGAAGAGTTGTCGACGCAACGTCTTCAATACGTTGCACAAACTCTCTCATCCAGGTGTACGAGCCACCATTAGGCTTATCGCACAACGTTTCTGCTGGCCTGGGATGAACAAAGACGTTAAGGAGTGGGCTCAGTCGTGCTTAGCTTGTCAAAAGTGTAAAGTCACGCGACACACGAAAAGCCCTTTAGGCTCATTTCTAGCCCCAGACATGCGTTTCGACCACGTCCATATAGATATTGTAGGACCCCTACCAGAATCTAATGGATGTACCTACCTTTTCACTTGTGTTGATCGTTTCACACGATGGCCGGAAGCAGTACCTATTAAGGATATTACTGCTGAAACAGTTGCTCGTGTTTTCGTCGAAAGATGGATCGCGAACTTCGGATGTCCACCTTACGTCACAACCGACCGTGGGCGCCAATTTGAGTGTGGATTATTTCACGCTCTAACGGCACTTTTAGGTTGCACCCGGTTCCGAACGACAGCCTACCATCCACAAGCAAATGGCATGGTAGAGCGTTTCCATCGACAGCTGAAAGCTTCCCTTTCAGCTGCAAACATACCTCAGTGGACCGAGGCTCTGCCTCTAGTCCTACTAGGTATTCGTAACGCCTTGAAAGTTGATGCTGGATGTACCCCTGCAGAACTCGTCTATGGGACCACTCTTCGCCTACCAGGTGAGTTTGTTTCCCCTTCAACTTTCAAACATCTTTCCGACAGGGCATCTTACGTGACTAGGCTTACAAACGCAATGCGTTCAGTTAGGCCTTCTCCGATTAGACCGCAAACGACTGATGTTTTCGTCCACCCCAGTTTACAAAAGACATCACACGTGTTTGTTCGCCACGACGCCGTTCGTCGACCACTTGAACCACCCTACGACGGGCCATTCAAAGTGGTCAAGCGACAAGAGAAATTCTACATAACTGAGCGAGACGGACGTGAAGATACTGTCAGTATCGACCGTTTGAAACCAGCTTATTTCGAAGGCAACCCCACCATAAGCGACGTTTCAGCCCGCTACATCCGACCGACGGATAGCTCAATTATCGAAATTCTTGACGATGTGCCTGGTAATGCACAGCTGCAACAGCCATCGGAGCAACAGAAAACACGATCAGGTCGAACCGTCAGGTTCCCGGCGTATTTAAAGTAGTATTCAACTTAGTGGTGTGAAATAAGATGTGCCAACTATATTTTTTCACTTGCGCATTTTTTCCCGAGGCACTATTTTTCTTATTTACCGGCAATGCGCGAATCCTCGTACATTTTGCCTTTTTATGTCAATTTTTTACTACCATGTAATGAAACTCTTTTTAAAAAACGGTGAAAATAAGCGCTAACTTTATTTTCGAAATATTTGTACATACATAATTCCCAATTTTACGAAGCGTTTTCATGGTATTAAAGACTTTCATTTATATTCCAGGTGCAACG